AAAAATGCCTTTTGCCGTCTGTGTTCTTTTCCGTTTCAGTTTTAAAACCCTAAAGGCTCAGAAATGTACTTTAAATCTGTGTTTCTTGATCGGAACATAAACTTGAACCGGTCGCGGAGGTTTCCATGGTGACTTTACTTTACAGCATTGGGCCGATTTTTCCATACTCACACTCAAATATTACAGGACTTGTGAGTGCAAAAACATCTGGATGACTCAATCAAAATTCCCCCCAGTTTCAATATCAGGATTAAAAACGGAGTTATCAACTCCCACCTTCAGATCCCTTAGACCAGGGATGTCAAAGTCAAACACACTGAGGGCCAAAAAAGAAAATTTGCTACAAGCCGAGGGCCGGACTGGTTCAACGTTTATTAAAACATATCGAAACGATTGCACATAGACTATTGAACCAAGACCTAACACAGTACTGTATTCACACATATTCACAATGATTAAATGAATATGGCAATATTTTGTTATGGCTCTGTCGGTAACTTCAAGGGAAAACATTTTCAACAGCCAAACAGCAAAAAATTAAATTGTTTTTAAAAACAAAATGTGTTTCTTAATATCAAGATAAATGCATAAATAAAAGTGCATGCATTATAAACGGAAAATGTATTATTGTGCTGCTCTATGATCTACCGATCACTGCTTTCAAATAGTCAAATTTAAAAAATAAATCAAATCAGTTGTATTCTTTCTCATGGCTCTTATCTGCAATTTTCCCTGAGTCCATTCGAAATAAATATAAATAAATAAAATACAAAAATGTATGGCACAATAAAGCTAGCCTTGACAGCAGCCTCACTTTGTGATTTAGCATACGTGAATATGTGTAATTCTTCCACCTTCTGTAGCTTTTGTTCATATTCCATATTCTTGTCTTTGTCTGTGTGTTTCTTAGACGTTTGATAGTGCCTTCTTAAATTCAATTCTTTCATTACAGCCACACTTTCTCCACACAGAACACACACAGGTTTCCTTTCACCTCCGTAAACATGTCCTCTGCCTCCCACCTGGCCTGAAACCCGCTGTTCTCAGCCTCCACCTTACGTTTAGTCCTTTTTGAGGAGGGGGTTTCAAAAAGTCAAACTCTGCTCTGAACGAATGAAGCCGTTTGTGCGGCTGCAGTGACTTCGCGGGCGACCGTTGCATTGTGGGAAATGTAGTGTTGGCGCGTACAAAACACCAGCAGCTTCTAATAATAATTAAATATCATCCAGCGGGCCATAGATAATCAATTCATGGGGCCGGATCTGGCCCGCGGGCCTTGACTTTGACATTTGTGCCTTAGACTCACTGTATAAAAAGACACAGATTTTAATGTTGAATATACTAAATGAATGTACTAAATGAATAATCTACTGGAACAGGCTTGTTTCCGTTTAGCTTCTGAGTTGAATCCCAGTTAATTCCGATCATTTTCATCCGGCCAAACATTTTACTTTTCTTTTTTCTTTTTTTCGGTGACCAAACATTTTCTGAGCACAAGGCAGCCATTCAGGGCCTGTGAGTGTTGGGAGGTGAGGGTGGGGGGGGGGTTTGGACAGAGGGGCCTCAGTCCGGTCTGAAATGACTGTTTTTTTACCTTTAAGGCCCACTCTGATAAACCAGATGTGCAGAAGTCAGTTGTTTACGCTCCGACTGTGACCGCCGTAAACCCCCAAAACGACCCGTTTTATTCACACACGCTCATAATCTAAAGTATTCTGGTTGGGAAACAAAACGGGGGGGGGATTCCTTTGTCCTGGGTCAAACTCACTTGCTTGTTTTAGGTTTTCTGGTGAACTTGAATTTGCAGTTTGGACGTCGCATTTCTACGTTTTTTCTACCCTCAAAATAAAGGACCAAACTCCAAAATCAACCAGATGATCTTCCTATACATCATGTCTGCATGAAATATGTCTGTTTTTTAAGTATTTGCTTGCTTTATATCAACACTAAAGCAGCTTGTGAAGCTTAAACTCTGTATTTCTGGTTGGAGACCCACAGATTTGGAGTTCCTCGAACTTGGAAGAGCTCAGAATTGGGAGCTCAGGACTGTAAAAATGCCACCTCTGTAAGAGGAAAACAGCAGGTTATTCCGATCGAGCACCTGGGCCAGCTTAGAACAAACGGTTTGGAGTGACGTGACCATAAAAACCTGGATGAAAAGGCCTGAGCTCCACCCTACAGAACATCTTTGGGATGAATCATGGCGCAGACTGAGAGCCAGAAACTCTCTCTCAGAGTCTGGAAAAATGGTGTCAAACTCCCACCAACACTCTCTAAAACTTTATGGAGTCTTCCCAGAGGAGCTGAAGACTTAGACTTCCTTTATTGTCATAGCACAAAAAAACACAAGGTGAATCTTGACAACGAAATGTCGATTACTTTGCTACCAGTGTAACAGAGCCTTATTCCTACACAATAAATATGTTTTCTATAGCTAAGAGCTAATAGCTAGCTATATACAGAGTAAAGAAGTATATTTATACATTTGTATTGCAGTTATTGCAAAAAGAAACATTAAGTTAAAGGCAAAACTAAACTAGGGTGTGTGTATTGCCATATGAGTCCATACTTTTAGCCACATAATGTGTATCCTGTATATCTAAATGCTATTTTATTTACTACCCAAACAACACAGTTTACCCATCGAGGAACATCAGAGACTGTTAGCCTGGTTTTGTGTTGGAATGATGTGGAGTGTGTGAAAAAAAAAGACAGGAAACCGATTCCATTTTAATTGATTTACTATCTTCTAATCGTTGCCTCAAAATGCACGAGTGCGATACACACGGATAGCAGAAGATACGATCGGTGGATAAATAGAAAATTCAGGAAAATAGCATTCCAGTGGTGCACTGGACTTTGGATCTATGACACAAACGCTTTTTCTCTCCAGACGGGAGCTAAATCCACACAGGACGTCTGTAACAGGCCCCCATTGTTCCCCCCCACCCCCCACCGGTGGTTATAGTTGTTTTTCTTAAAACTGACGGTGACCTAAAGTTTCTTTCTTATTCTAATTAACACTGGAAACACATTTTGGGAATAAGCACGTAAAGTTCTAAGAGCAATATTCCACAATCCGCTCATTTAACAGCGAGATAACTCTGTCGTACACAAGGACTCCCACATTTTTCGCTTTAAAGCAAAGCAGCACCTAAAACGTAAGATTTATAGGAATACTTATAAAGGAATAAATAAAAGAGAACTAAATCCTCATGATGGATGCAAAACTGGAACACGGAGAATAGATTTAGTGTTCGAACAGACAAAACTGGAAAACATGCTTGTGGTGTGACACGGCCAGGCTAACGCCGTTAGCATGGATATGTAGCGTACGCCCACAAATGGAACAATAAAAACCCAGTGGCCTCGTCATCTAATTGAGTTATTTAAAGCAAGCTGGGTGTGAAAAGGATTTCTGATTTGAGAGGGACGTTAAACCAAACATCAGAAGACAGGAGGTGAGAGAACGTCTTAAGGGGGATGATTACAGGAGCAGGTTGTGGTCACTTTAACGAAGCGTGTCTCTTAAATCTAAGATGTGGAGGTCTGTTCCCATGGCGACGTGGTCCTTCTGTGAGGTGATGGCGAGGGTGACTCAGGTGGAGCGCGACCGGGCCCACACGGGTTTTACCAGTTGTCCAAGAAGTCAAATCCGGTCTTCAGGATGCTGCTACTGGTGTTGAACTGAGGACAGAAAAGGGCGGACACAGCGGTCAGAGGCAGGAAAACACCGGGGGGGATCTGTTAAAATGTTGTATCTGGATACGATACTCATTTTCTCTCTGATTAATTTATTTATTCACGTTGTTTATGATCATTAACGTGAAGTTAGCCTTGAATTGCTAGCTGTGGCTAACGGCTAATAATAACATTACAACATTAATCAAGTCCGTCTGGCTGCAGACTGCAGGAAGCCAAGGATGGAGATCCAACTCCCCCACATCCAAGTCGGCCATTTTGATTACATCACCAATAGGAAGAGCCCAGGCAAGAAAATCCTAATTGCTTCATGGCAATATAGACATTAATTTATAAATAGTGAAATGAATCTTGCAAACACTGAATTAAACTCCATACATAATATTATCTGAAAATAGTGGATGTTAAATAGGTTTGTACAATAAGTCCAAACAAGTTTAACCAAAAAATATTTATTTCTCATATTTATGAAGGCTTAGGGTTAGGGTCATTAATGTGGGCCACCATAACATCAGTAACAGGTCAGTTTGAAACCAAAGACACTAACCTGTCAAAATTCTGTTCAATTTTGGGGTCTTTGTTTTTATCCTTGTGGTATCGAGTATCGAATATTTTCCTGAGTATCTGTGTCGAGTTGAACATTTTTGTTTCATGGCGACCCTGCCTGTAGCTACAGCGTTGGGCCAGAGTTTTAGAGGATTTAGAGGATTACTCTCCGTTAAAATCGTGTGTTGTGTTTGGGGACTCACCTGGGAAAAGGTGGGGCTGGCGTCGACGTTGGGTGATCTCTCCTCCACCTTCTCCTTCTCCTTCTCCTTCTCCGCGCTGGGGGGTGGCCTGGAGGGCTTGGGGGGTTTGGAGACCATGCTGGAGGAGAACATCTCTGGGTCCAGGGCGTTTCCGGCCGACGGCAGGGTGCTCTGGGACCTCTCCCAGCCCCCCCCCGTCGGGGGGGCGGCGAGGGGCGGGGCCGGGGGCGGAGCGATGGAGATGGAGGCGGGCGTGGCGCTGACCGCCGTGGGGATGGGGGGCGGGGGGGCGGGGGGTTTGGGGGCTCTCTGCTTAATGGACCTGACCGGGGCGGGGGGGTGGACCTCAGCTGGGTCCGGCTCCTTAGAGCCCACGGCCGATTCCTGGAGGGAGAATCCAGTCAGATGGTCAGATTTTATCCAGGAGACCATTCACTTATTTTGACCTATATATATATGTATACATATAGTTTTTTAAGTATATATCTATCTATATTATATGAGGAATTTTGTATATACAGGACTGTCTCAGAAAATTAGAATATTGTGAAACCCAAATATCCTATCTCAAAATATTACAATATCGGATTTTTGAGTTTTCTTCAGCTGTACGCCATAATCAGCGATATTAAAACAATAAAAGGCTTGCGATATTTCAGTTGATTTGTAATGAATACAGAATGTATGACATTTCATGATTTTTAATTGCATTACAGAAAATAAAGAACTTTATCACAATATTCTAATTTTCTGAGACAGTACTGTATATATATATATATATACAGTGGGGGTAATAAGTATTTGACCCCTTGCTGATTTTGCAGGTTTGCCCACTTACAAAGAATGCAACGATCTATAACTTTAATCATATGTACATTCTAACAGTGAAAGACAGAATCCCAAAGAAAATTCCAGAAAATCACATCATATGAATGATTGATAAATTAATAACCATCTGATGAGGAAAAATAGGCATTCTTTGTAAGTGGGCAAACCTGCAAA